AGTATAAATATTCTTACATATTTTTTATATATTGATTTACTAAGATTTAATTATTTTTAAAATAGTTTATTTTCCATTTTTCTATTTTTAACATTTCATATAATTTTTTATTAGCTCGTTTGTTTTTTTGAAATTTTCCAACTTTAATAGTTCTTTTATTTCAGAAAGTTTTTACTGTTTAACCTTTTACTTGAAATTCGAGCAGCTTTTTTGCGTATTCGGAAATCTTGAGTAAACTTAGAGTACATTAAAGCAAAAAATAGAATATTTAAATTTTTTTATTATAAAAATTCACATCCTTCTTAATCTCGTTGATATGTTTTCGTTATATACAAAGTGGTAAATTTATGGTTCTGTGTGTACGAATTCTTGTTATTTATAGCCCTATAATTGTACAACATAACAAACGATTTCTCCCACACACACACACTCATACATGCCTGCAAGATCTATTAGAGCACTCATAGCAGCGCGTCATCACAAATAAATTTCCCATAATGAATGGAAATGACCAACGAAATGCACGATCACACCAAATGCTTACAACCTGAACGCCTACTCGCGGGACATAACCCAAAAGTGGGCGAAAGAGGCAGTAAACTCAATACATTCCTTTCAAGACTTACAACCAGTTTCCTTCCAACCGCAGTAGTTTGTCTGCTTGCTCTCCACTTTTTTCGCTCATTCCATTCATTTGTGTTGTGAGTTGCTGCCGCCATTAAGGTGGCTGTGAAATATAACACGCTCATAATTGGTCATAAATCTGACAACAGCAATTTGTCAACGCTGGTGCTCCTGCTTTTACTTGTGGCTGTGTTGATGCTCGGTCAGGCAGGCAGGAAGTGAAGAATTGCATTGAATTTGCCGAACAAGGTCATCAAGTGGCATTGCGTTGCGTTCTTATGCCAAATTCGTGCAAGGGTGTTTTAACCATTGCAGCAGGAGTAAGGAAAGAAAAAAATTGCTAAGCGAATTTCGACGTCCGGCAAAGAGGCATATTTGTTGTCGCTGTGCACAGCTGGTGGGAAACCATTGATTGTCTCTTATTTTGTATTATTATTATTATTTTTTTTTTTGTTCTTAAAAGAATTGCTCAACTAACCTCAGATGACACTGAATTTCCTTTCATCAAAAATTTATTTTGCTCCTTAAATAGCATAATACATCATTATTACTGTTATTTCATTTCAACAGACACGTGTTTAATTTAAGAGCATTTATCAAGGCATGCTGCGAAAAATATACATATGTATCTAAAAGAGCACTGGTTACATATAAATAAGAGAGAGAATATCTCAGTAGCTACCTTTGTACTGGTAAAGAGTTTGATCTGTAAAGTACAGGGAAATATTCGTTGAAAAATTCAATACCCTAAAGTAATTTACTTTGGTAACAAGCTCTTCTGCCATGAAATCTACTTGGAACTGGAATAAAGAGTGGACAACCTGGTTAAAGTGATCCCGAAGAAGAAAAAGCTTCCACGATGTGAAAATAGAACTCAATCTCGACATCGATAGCAGTAAAAGATAAGAGAAAAGATTGATAAATTGTCAGGGTCGTGAGGGTTAAAAATATAAAAACTCTTATAAGCCACATCACAATGGCTAAAGGATTTTTGTGTGGAGCGTTTTATTTCATATTGGAAATACACTCGGATGGTTTGACCTCCCTGTCGAGGGGCTGCGGCAATAAAAAAAACTTAATTTCTAATTTGAACGAGTTTTCTATAAATTTTGGACATTGGTTGAAAGAGGCCTAGAATATTTGACTTTAAACTGGCCGTACTCAATACTAATAATTCGGTTATCACGGCTGAGCATAAAATCGCCTTGACAAAATTAGGTGAGAAAACAGCCCCACCGAATGAATCGCACTCAAAATGTACTTTGGTATTGCCCTGTTTTGAACTCAGGAAGTAAAAGCTTCTGAAATAGACGTGGAAGAGCTTCTGCAGAGTTACCGTCATTTATAACTGAAGCACTAAAATTATTAATAAGCAAGTCCAAAAAGCTGCTTGAACCCGTCGGAATACCTACTGATGTACTAAAAGTAAAGCCATAAATTGTGCTTAAGTCCTCCTAGATATGTATGCACCTGCCTAAATTCAAGTTGACTTCAGGGTGGTAGCTCATATTTATTAGCAATGGAGAGGGAAATCCAAGATAGAAGCAGATATTACTATCACTAAGACAGTATAGATTTTCTAGCACCATCTGATGTCCGTAATGAATTCAACAGCGTCGAATGGAGAAACGTTCAATATTCCAAAAGCTACAGAGCAATTTGATATCACACCACAGCTAGTATCTTAAGTCCAAAGATAACATCAGGTGCATACAGGGATCTGATCTCTGGTATATCAGTTGCAACGATATATAAAACTTCAAAGAGCCACATACTGGCTATGTTAACAAAGAAGCACATCTCATTAGAAAGGCTTATATAAAATAGTAAAAACGTAAAAATGGATTCTGTAATAAGCTACTGGGCACAAATGCTATACGCACTGGAAAAGGCCCCTACTAAAACATTTCGATACAGGAGATTGATGTGTAATATTAGCAACATACGAAAAATAAAAGAAACCTACTGATAATGGCGTTCTCATAGATCTTTAGGCCCTTGAAAGGAAGAAAATTTGGTTTCAAAATAATTAAGGAGTAAGAAAGATGAAAAAAATTAAATATCCAATATCGAGGGCAAATGAAAACTCCGAAAAATATTAATACAAAGTAGGAAATGTAGTAGATATGTACCGTGTGTATAAACTGAAAAAACACCGAGGCACTTAGTAGGTACTCTGTAAGCAGACATCACCATTCCCATCACCATATTGGAAACATATAACCAAATATTATTATATGTACATGTGGTCCGTGAGAAGCTGGAAAAAGCGGGAACTGACGTGAGCTCTGTATCATTGCTGTGAGAATACATTGACGATGTGGCGATCACTTTATGCCCCCTCGTAACAAGAAACAAAAAAGCAACAACAACTTGAGTCACCAATGGTTTTTGCATGAATTATTGTATCATGGATTTATGTATACATAAAAGGCGCTGACTTCGAGTTTTTAAATCGTCTTTCAGTTCGCCGAATATTTTAAATTCAAAAATATTAAAACAAAAATTATAAACTGAATTTTTTTTTATATAAATTTTTCTAAAGAAATTAAATTTGAGTCAACACAAGCATGAAATTAACATTTCATTCGTAATTCCAGGAGACCAGATTTGGGAAGTGAATCAGTGACCTTAAATACTACTTTTTTTACTCAGTGTTATTTATTTGAAACGCATCTTGCAAATTGTACTTGAATTTATTCAGAATTGATAAGCGTAAGCGTCAACAGCATTGGCTGATAACATAGCTATACACTTATATACATATAGTATATAAAGACGTTACATAGGCGACTAAAGTTAGATGAATATAGAATATATTTACTAAAAACAGGTAGAAATGATGTTCAGCTAATCGCTACAACTACAACGTCGTAACATAATATTAAGCCCCCCTAGTGGTCCAGCATTGTCTGCATAAGGGAGGCTTTAGACCTAACTACTAGCTATAAATTATTTAAGAAAATTCAAAAGGAAAAATTTCTTCGAACAGCAGAAAAACATTTAATTAAATTTATTAATTTATATTATAGTGAAAATTAAATTATCATATCATGTGTCGTTACTCGTGAGTAATTTAATACCACATTCTCGCTACCTCACAGAGGTGGCGTTGTACGTGCACATACATGCACACACATAACTCAAGCCTGTAAGCTCAATGCACTTAAAGAATCTTGACTTCTAGACCTACAAAAGGTTGTTTGTCTTACTTGCGACGCGACGCAAAGCATCATTGAGCATTTTGAGACAAATAAACGTATATTTGTAAATTGAGCTATTAAATTATTAAAGCATATCCACTATGTCTTCAGGTTCCCTCAAAAACTATACAATTTCGCAGATATGTACTGCGGAGGCTGAATAGATTTTCTCTCATAATATTAGGGCGTCTCGAGATTTTTTAAAAATAATGTTAAAAAATAAAATAAATAACAGCAAAAAGAAGCTTATAATATAAATGGCTTAAAATAAAAAAACCATATAAAGTAAAATAAAACAAAAAACTAAAATAAAATAAAATTATATTAATATAAGCAAAATAAAGTAAAATAAAATATAATCAACTAAAATAAAAAAAAAACATATAAAAAGAAATAAAATGAGAGAAAAGGGTATAAAAAAATAATGAAAAAAAAAAATAAATGAAATAAAAAAAAAAAATAAAATTAAACTAAGACAAAATAAAAAATAAATAAACTTAATTAAATTAAAATAAAATAACAAAAAAAGACATTTAAAATGAAAGAAAATTAAAGAAAGAGTATCAAAAAATTAAATGATATAAAAAAAATAAATAAATAAAAATAAAATAAAATAAAATAAAATAAAATAAATTAAAATCAAAAACTAGATAAAATGAATTAAAAACAATTTAAAAACAATTAAAATCTTATAAAATAAAATAAATTTAGAAAAAAATAATTAAATAAATTTTAATTTAATAAAATAAAATTAGTGGTAAGGCTCTCGTCTGTTAGGTAAGAATCCGTTGATTCGATCCCTGCCATAAGAAGTCTGACGATTTTGTATAAAAAAATATTCAATGCGTACAAGCAAACCCGATTTTTAACTTACTAAAAACTTAAAATAAAATTTAATTAAGTTATTAAAACTTTTACTAAATTAAATAAAACAAAATAATGTAAGAAAAATTAAATTTAAAATTATATATTTTAGGTGCTCCCTAGTTTGTACCTACATTACTTAGGTAATGTGCTCTTGAGCGCATATATTATTATATGAACGTTATCTCTACTGTCAGTAAGCTGGCTTTCTATAACTCAAATTGATTATACGTCTCATATAAGCTTAAAGCAAGCTGGCATTACCGAATGTAGCTCAATATCCACAAAGATGCATCGAAATTTTAATGCTCAGCCACTAAGTATTTGCAGTAGTCCACATTTAAGCGTTGCTTCGTACGGTCGAAGTTAGGAAAGGACGGAAAAATTACTTTACTGCAGCTAAATAAAAACGGAAGTTAGAAAAAAGTAATAATAGTAAATAAATAGAATGTCACCCAAACTAATTTGCCTACTATTACTGCTTACACTCTGCGCCGCGGTGTTCATGGTGGAAGCGCGAGGCGGGCGTGGTCGTGGCGGTTCGTTAGGTTCCGCTTTCTATAGGCGCTCACATAAGAAACACAGTTCTTCCGGCGGAAGTGGCTCCAGACGTAAGGTTGTCAGCGGCTCACCCGTCCACACTACCTACACTAAATCCCTTATGACCGGTCAAGGAGTAGATGAAAAGTTCGTCCGACATCGCTCGCGCACACGTCTGAAGTCTCATAAGAGTCACACCAATCATGGTAGTACGAGTGGTCACAAGAGCCACACGCATGTAGAAACGCCGCACAACAGTCACAATAGTCACACAATTTCGGGGAAAAAAGCACAACATGACACACATAGTGCTTGGAACCCTTTCGGGGGCAGTGTGGCGCATCACAACACACCGCTAGGAAATTCTCACATCTCACAAAACTGGGGTGGACATCAATTGCCTGCTGGACATGTCCATGTCACACAGCCCTCAAGTATGCCGGTGAATGCGGTCTACTATGCCCAACCACCAAGACAGAGCAGCAGTGATGATAGTGAGTATTGAGATGAATAATTTTATTATTTTTCTAAATTTCTGAAACTGAAATCCTCGCAGACTCTTTAGACTTCGCTTTAGGTTATCTTGTGGGTCGCAGCCTCACGCGTACACATTATCACCATCATCACAACTATCAACAAGAAGCACAGCAACAGCAAGCAATGAACAATGATCAACCCTTAAGCACAACAACTGCAACCCCAACCTCCTCAGATCAGTCAAAAAGCTCAGACCAAACACATTATTGGCCCACTGACACTGAAGTATCGCTGGCACCACTCAATAATACACTCATACCAAATGGTGTGACGGAAAAATCAGCAGAGGTCATTTTCAAAAATCCACCAGTTCTCAGCGCTCAGTCACTCACCAGAGATAACTTAACTTTCGAACTGCCCGGAGTTACAGCGCCACCACCGGTGACACCACCCACGGGTGGCATCATATGTATGCCCTGGACTTTCAACGAAACTGATCCAGCGAATCCCGAGAATGTTATTGTTGTGCAAAAAACAATTTGTTTCCCAGCACCGCCGCCACCGCCGCCACCACCATCAACACCATTGGCACCAATCGCTGGTGATATTCAGATGGATGCGTCAATGGCGACGACTACGACAACGACAGCAAGTATCTCAACAACAAGAACAGCTGCCTCCAACTAAATTGCTTTAGTTACGGAAGATTTGGTAGATTTGGTTGTATTAATTTGGAAATCATTTCAACTATTAATTTCCAATATATATGTACATGTATTTATTATACAAAAAAAATAATATAACTAAGCTTATTTTAATTTAATAAAAATATGTTTCTATTGTATAACCGTGTCGCGGTAAATATTAAATTTTTGTCTTTGGCTTCATTTTGCGAAAAGATTGAGAATACGAGGGAATCGCTTTAAGGGTTTACATGGGTTTCACAGCTTCAAAAATCGATGACTTTTTATTTTATTATTTCCATAGTATCGCGAGAATATTACTCTAAGCACCCAAGTCGATCCGAGTACAAGTTAAGGGACAGAGCATTGGAAAGTTTCCAGCTGAAGGGAAGGTAGGCCCAGTGCTTTTTCTCGAAACCTTGTTTTCAAAGTCGGTTGTCGAAAGTTATCGAAAACTAAATCGATCTTTATTAAGTTTTACACAGGTGTCCGTGACAAAAAACATTTTATCGAATAACTTGGTATAGGGCAGCTCAGATATGTTATAGTCTTCCGTTTTTTGACGTTTTCACGACCTAAGATCTCGAATCTGAATAATAGGTCTTACATATGCTATAGAAATATATCAAAAACTGAGGGATTACTTTGTGTACAAACATATGGAGAAGGTCAAATGAACTAAGTTCGTCATTCTGACTTCATCGGTCTAAATTTTGAAAGGTCTGTACCCCCCACTTCTGGTACTAATATAATTCCGGTCATAATTTATATACCATTTCATGTGCATTAATAGGTAAAAAAGTGTTGGAGACGTTTTTCCAATACTTACTTTTTTATAAAAGGAAACAGTAAAAATTTAATTTATTTTTTTCGTTCATCTAAAACCAAGTTTAAGATATTAAGTTAAACAATATTTTAATAGTTTTCATTTCGAATGACTCTGCCATGAGTCACCGAAAAGGACGTGACATTGGCAGAGTTAATGATATTCTTTTCCGAAAATTTGTACTAATTTGTGGGAAAAAAAGATTTGTAAAAAAAAATTTCGTGATCCCTGCATAGATCTGATATATTGCCCATGAATTAATTTTTAATGACGATTTATTTTTTCCTTTTTCATTTTCAATGGCGCAGACATCGAGACATCGCTTACGTGATTTTGAAAACTGCGCTTCCTTCGTTTTAGCAGTTTGGCATCAATTTGAACTAACTAAAGCCAGATGCTTCTCCAATTTATATTGCCAAAGAATTTAAGGTCTTCCTTTTACAATTTTACCATTTTCTTTCGTTGCCTTGTAACGCCGGCGCTTCAGATATTGCCCAAATTATTGAACAGGCTTTTGCAGGGCGGGACTGATGAGCGGCTTGTAGAGTTTGGTCTTGGTACGTCGACTTCAGGTTTCTATCGTCGACTCTGTCTAAAGTATCACGTATTAAAAGAGTGATTCTGCTAATTGTTGTTGTTGTATTTATTATGGTGAAAGGCTGGACGAGGTAACCAATGACTTCATATTTAGGATCTTATTGAAATTTAGTCATGTGGACTTGTGTGTGAGCTCTAATCGGCCAACATTAGGAAATCAGCTTTGTGTCTTTTATAGATTTAGAGATGGCATTAAAGAAACGAGACAACAAATGGGAAGCTATTTTAACAATTCTGGTGTTACGAGGTCATAAGCAAAGTCTTGTCTTACATTCAGCGTTTTAATTAGTGACTTCGGCCATAGTCCATTTAAAATGGTACCGAGTACTGGTTTTTCGGTGTCGGCAAGCTCTTTTGGGTCTTTCTTCTACTCTCTTTCTAGTTATATTTTTAAGCCACCGAAGAATAAATTTAATATTACAACCTTTGGAAAAACTTTCAAAATTAGTTTCATTACGAAACCACTTCCAATAATGAGAAAATTGGAAATTAAAAAATATTGCTTCACTCAAAATTCTTTCAAAAATATTAACCCTTTGTCATAAAAAGATTTTTTGAGTTTTAATATATTTTTCTGCTTCCAATATCATAATATAAAAAATAAATTTTCAACTTGCTGAAATTAAATAAATGTAAATATATTACTATTATTTATATTAGAAGAAATAAAAATTCTTTCTTTGCAAGCAAAAAAAAAATAAAATGTGCTCACAAAAAACTTATAGGCTTTGCTTAGAATTTTCTGAAATCTAATCAAAAAAGATTTTAATCTTTATTTAAATAAAATATTTTTATAATGGGAATATCTTGAAGTTAACGTGAAAATAAGATATGGTGACAAAAAATGCCATTAATATGTTTGAATATCCAAAAAAATAACTGATAAGCAAAGATAAGTCGCATGCGATTTTAAAACCGTCACCTGTTACACAGATAATATTACTCATCTGACATTTTTCTATGTGTCAGACGGTGCACACACATTATCATCATGCTCCCAAACGCTCTCAGATAAATATTATATTTAAACAATATAAACAGATCTGCTGTGCTGATTTTGTATGCCGAAAGCAAACTGATATTGCTTGTAAACTCAATGAGTAACAACTACTCGACAACAACAAAAAAGAGACAAATAACTATAAAAATAGCAAATAAACAAACGCAATCATCCACACAAACACTGTCACACCTATCTACGAACGCGTATGCCGCCATGAGCAACGCTAAGCCGAGCTCTGTCCATTAGCAAGCCGTCCAGCTAGTAGCCGCAAGTATTTCAAGTTTAGTTCACTCGGGAGCTTCGAACAGATCAAACGCTAAAAAAATACTCAAAAATAATTAAACGAAACCAGAAAAGTACAAAGCGTAAATTAAACGCAGAATTTCATTATTTTATTCATTAAAAAACAACAAAAGCAACAAGTTATTGTTACAAGTAAGTGTGGGCAGTGAAGCGAATGCACAAAATATAAAAAACAAAGAAAAAATTGAGTTTTGCATAAATTTAAAGTAAACTACCGGTTTTTGGCATAAATGAATAATATACATTAATGGGAAAATGTGTAAATGTGGCGCAATAAATAGTATTTTTATTCACATTATTTTCAAGTCAATAAACAGCGGCATTATCTTGCATTTTTCTACAAAAGTTCGCTGAAGGTCATATTTATTTAAAAAGAAATGAAGAATTTCTATAAAAAATTAAATCTTAATTCAACATGTGTTTAACGAAATGCAACAAAGCCAGTGTTGATGAGCTTGACAATTGATAGCGATTGGCTAATTATTGTGTTTAGTGAAAATACAGTGACTGCTAAAAAGTTCCTAATTTTTGTTTAATTTATTTTTATTTTTCTTTTTATTTCTTTTTTTTATAATTATTTATTTTTATCTTTAAAAATAAACAATATGAGCGAGTTGAAACTATTCACAAAAATTCACCAAAACATTAAACAACTATATATGTTTCTGACTATAAACTATTTACCTTAACTTTTTTTAGTTTTTTAGGTTCTTAGAAACTCAATTCTTGCTTTTGAAAAATGTGTTTTAAAAGTTATGATTTTGTATTACTCAGTTTTACTTATTTAAAAAATCATCCGCACCAACATTTTTAATATATGTATATGTAAATAAATATTATTTACACATCTCAACAACTTGGAATTTCCGCACTTATCAATGTTAACTTCTGAACTTATTAAACTGATAATAATAGACGCGTTTTCGGCGCATTCAAACTAAGTAAACATTTAAAATTCGTTGTAAATATATGTAATTACACATTATCTATCAATCTGAAATCTAAAATATTAGTAATATAAATAAAACATATAAAACTTTTGTAAATATAAAATATAACATATAAAATATAAAATATGAAATACAAAATATAAAATTTAATTTTTAAAATATAACATATAAAATATAAAATATTAAATATAAAATATAAAATATAAAACATAAAATATAAAATATAAAATATAAAATATAAAATATTGTATAAAACTAAAAACATAAAATTAAAAATATAAAAAAATATGTATGAAGTATGAATTAATAATTCTAAAATACGAATTAAGGTAATATATATATAATTAACGGTTTATATCAGCTGAAGCGATTTTCCGCCGAGCTTCTCCTCCAATTTCTGGTTTCGCGTCTTAATGTTTTTCCAACAAATGAAGCGATCTACAGTTTCCACTAAGCCGCCTCTGAACGGCTGATGGTTTTTTATGAGGAGCCTTTATTTCATGTCAGAAATGCACCCGGAGCGGTAGACATTCCCTGACGAGGAGCTACCGGAATTAGAAAATTTAGCTTAATTTTTTTTTTATTAAATTAATTTTCAATAACTTTTTGGATGTTAGTACGACACCAGGATTTGAACCCTCGCCTTTCGAATGGCATTAATCAATGCAAACCACTCGGCTACCGCGGCCGTTATTGGTAATACTCATTATTCAATAAAAAAAAATCCAATAAATATAGATGAAAATGTATTTGCTCTTTTATACGTTTTCGTAGCTGTTTCTCGCGTATAAAATTAAACCCTATCACCTGCTTAGTACCCAAATAGTTATCAACGTGTCGAACCACACAATTCGCCCAACCACAAACTTCATCGCCGCCTACGCAGCTTCATTAATCACTGACACACTTAATTAACCACTCGAGTGTATCTTCGAATACTCAACAGTGGCGGACGGACAGACAAAAACAGTTAAGCGCACATTAATATGCCGAAATATTAGCACACTGACAGCTAGACCTATAAGCGGATTGATCGCCAAAGAGTATGCCAATATCAATATTTATGCAGGTATTGAGTGTTGAGTGTTAGGATGTAATTTTTATATAATTTAAAGCGGAATTAAATTTGTTTTTATTTCTTCTTTGCACCACTTTCGAGTGGGTGAGAGGCAAAATAATAAAAAATATATATTTATACAATTACATACATATATATGTGTATTAAAAAATACAGAAGAGGTGTATGTGCTTAATTATGTTTCGAGTGCTCACAATCGAGTTGCATAATGTTTTATGGATTTATTTTTTATTACATAAAATTTGCAATAAAAATACTACAAAACCTTATTTTGCAATTTCTCCATGTCTAACGCAAATAAAAATATTTAATAATTAAACGGTTTGTGGTAATGTTTTTATGCCTTCGGCTAAGCGAATTTCATTAAAGTGATGTTTGGGAATTTCATGTGGTAGACTATTGACAAAAGTGACTCATCAATGACGCATGCAAACTTTTTGTTGGCTTTTTAAAACGAAATGACGAACAATGAATAAATACATGCAATGCTATTCAGTAATTGATATTGTTGTTGCTGGTGTACGTTTGTTCTTATATTTTTCAATCAAGTAGTATTTACAGTAGAATTTAATAAATTAATATAATTTATTGCGATTCCTATGAAATTTTATTTGCATATTGCATGCGATTTTTTTTTAAAGATTTATACATTCTTTTTTTCTTTTTTTGTTGCGAATTACAAAGCAGCAGCAAGTCCTTGTGAAAAATAAAAGTAGAATCTTTTATTGCGTTTATATACGACAAAAATTTTATTAAAAAAAAAAATTTAAATTTTTTAAAAAAGTTTTTAATTTATTTAACAGAAAGAAATATGAAAAATTTATTATTTCTTGCAGTTTGTATAAAAATAAATTTACTTTCCCGCATTTTCTTTAATTTTTATATTAAATATTCCGTTTTTATTTATGCACCTGTTTGAATCATAAATGCGCACACAAAGAAACTACAAAAATATTCACCATTTGCTACAACAAAATTAAGGCACTCATTTGAGTACAACAATCAACATAAGTAAAAGTGGCAAGTTTTCAAACTGATAAATTTACACACAAATATGTACATAAAAATATAAATTCGTAATAAGAAATAAAGAATTTAATTTCGTAAATTGAGGGCTCTAGCAAATTCCAGTATATATAATACTTTAAGCATACACACATACATACATACACACTCATATATACCAACCAAAGCAGGAACGGCCTATTTGTTTTTAAAAAGCACTCAACTTAATTATGACTGACAAGTGACAATTGTTTGTGCCTCAAACTAAATACATAAATAAATTGCAAATATAAATTACACAAATCGTAGCTACGCTCAGCTCAGCCGCGTCCAACGTGTAGTGGGAGTTGATAGAATTTATTGTGGTAATTTTTATTTTTTGTTTTTTTTTCCCTGTTAAGTCTTTTGTAGTAGTTGTATGTGATGAGTCTTTGCTGTCGAAACGAACATTTATACCTTTTTTGTTTTAAATATATTTTTTTAATATGTTAACATTAAAATTTTTCCAACTTCTTGGAATACACACAGTTTCAAGAGCAAAAAATGCAAAAAAAAACCAATTTACGGTGTTAGCTGCTCTGCTCAAACCTAATAGATTCCAACGCCGGTTTTGATCAATCCATACTTTGTAACTTTCTTTATCTCTATAGCAAAGCTCGTTAACCTTCTTTATTCGGAACCACATTTAGTCAGTCCGCACAGTCAAAAGTTGGTCTGGACGTACATCGGTCCCCATACAATCTCGCGAAATGTGCTTCAAGTAGCTAGCTACACTGCTCTCCACCGCTCTCAAGTAATTTTTCTCGGATCTTTGTCAAAGAGTTGTTTATTGGTTGTCTCACTAACCAGTTCTACCGCCTTCGATATTGTTGGGCTTTTAAAATCGCCGCTTTTGTTATTTCTTGCTCTATAATCTGTTAGCTGGTGCTGATAGCTGTCTTTTGCAAGTAGTGACCGTCCTGGATTTATTTAAAGAATCTGGAACCCTGAAAGCTTTGCCGGGGAGCACACCCGGACTTCATTTGTTTTCTCCTCATTCCAAGCTCACCTTACCTCCTCTTTTTTCATACGGTTAGATTGGCAGCTAATAATATTTTCGCTTTCAATCTCTGCTCCCTGTATTTTGCTCAAAATCTTTATTTAAAGGACCTAGTTGTTATGAACTAAGACATTTTTTGCGAACACTGGGATAGCATAGTGAGGCCACCTCTTCAATCGTGCTTATCCTTGCAACGTTTACATGGTGCGAGTGTTCATGGTTTGCGGTATTCTTCGGTTGCTGTATCACTACAATCCTTGTGAACTGCTGGTTTCTCAGCAAAGTGGCCAAGGCCACAAAATTTGCGATGCAGCATGTAGAGTCGATGTGCCTATATGAGAAAGTTGCCTAGAATCCCACCGTCTTTCACCGTCTTTTGGTGCATACGCCCTTCTTAGTTTCAAATACAATACAATTACACCAGAAAGAGAGGGAAAGATACATAGTCCGTCCTTCGTTTGACTCCACCAGCACGCTTCGCCGAGACCACGCTATAAGTATGTATTAGTCTATGTATTAACAGCGAAATTATTTTCCTTTCAATCAATTTTAATTTCCGTACAATTTCCGATGAGGACTAGTTATGAACTACTTCAGATTTTGATATTTTGATTTTACGCCATTGAAAACCTAGTTGAGCACCTGGTTATTAACAATTTTGCAACCAGTTGTGGATTAGTTTTAATCTGAATCCAAAATACTTACTCGGTCTTAGATCTCAACTACTTATTTAGCGCTTATTTCGAAGTAAAAAAAATAAGTGGCTTTGGTTTACACTGGATAATTTTTTGTTATATTGTAAATTGGACTACATATTATATTATAACTAAATCGTTCTAGAGCATTTGTGGAACCTACTGAGTTGTCTTCGCAAACAACCCTGTTCAAAACATCACTTAGAAAGTTTCTCTTGGCATAGGAAATCCACTAAATACAAAGCCATATGTTATATATAAAGGACGCAGTAAGCAATTGATTAGCAGAGTGCACCTTCATGTGAACGGTGACGGGTTCAATTTCTGGAAAGATCAACATTCAAGCTTGTAGTAAATTAATTTGTCCAGTTGTGGTCAAGCAGCGGGCAGGAATGTCGATGTTGCTGAGTGTATTTCTAGCGTAAAATACTGCGGAAAAAGCTCGGCCGGTTGTAAAACTTTTTCACTATGTCTTGCTAATTTGTTGTAATTAATATCGTTATATAAAGTGACGGAGCTTAATTGAACTATCGTTGATCAATTCTGAGAATCTTCTTGATAAGACGGAAAGAATTCTATTCAGATAACTGACAGCGTTTGCATCTTAGCAGTTACTACGTTTCAGAAAACGTTTGGTTTCACTTTAGACTTTTGAATTTTAACTTATATTTTATTATAAATGGAAACGATTTAATTAAAATTATTGTCATAATTTAATTTTTCTCTATCAAGTTTCCCATTTTCGGCGAAGCTTTCGAAACACATTGCAATTGTAAAGCTGGTTTCGGACACCTCAAACAATAATCTGCTAATAATCTAATATTTCCCATTTATATTTTCAGCGCGCAATAGTTGAAATCAGCACAAAACGTGCGCACGTCCTCAGAACAGACAGGATGAGCCCAGCAAGCTTAAAGCTTTACTGCATCGCAGTCACTTGCTTATTATTATCGAATTGCCTGTTTGTGGATGCGAAGGGTACCTTCAGTGGCCGAAGCAGCTCCAGAAGCTCACACAGCTCATACACGCCACGACGCACGCACTCGCCCAGCTCCCACAGCTATACATCACACTCATCATCGGCTGCTTCACGTCCTTCCTACTCACATTCAGATGCCACAAAACTCAGTTACAGCGGCAACACCTACGCAGCGCCCAAACGACAAAGTTCCACACACACAAATACACCCACATACACTCAATCACGACCGGCCGCTACCGGCACTCCTATCGGTTGGAATGTACCAAAATCACAGGGTCCACCACCGGCGTATTCGCCATCGAATCCATCAGGTGGTGCACGCACCAATATACACGAACCACCACCGGCTTATAAGGCCACAGCACCTGTCGCCTCAGCACCTTCCGCATCGTCTGTTTACAAGCCAAATGCGCCACCACCGAGCTACACAGCTGCTACTAACACCGGCAGTCGCAATTCAATGACGCCAGCACAGACATACAATCCCAGCGCACCGGCAGCTTCTAACAATTATCGCGGCACGATGACACCAGCGCAGACATATCGACCAAGAGCAAATTCAACAGGCTTTGGCGGAGGCAGCTCCTTTACACCGATACAACGCACAAATGTGCAAGGCGTGCAATCCGGTTACCCGCAACAGAGTTTACCTGCAGGTGCTACCTATTATAACTCACCTTCTCATCTGCCAGCGGGTGCCACATATCACTCAGCGGGCTCATTGCCACCCGGCGCAACCTATCACCCATCGGCACCGGTTGGAGCAGCTTATCATCCATCTGCACCCACATATCATGCACCGGGCGCTTTGCCTGCTGGCGCTACTTATTATCCATCTGGCGGTGCTTTGCCGGCTGGCGCCAGTTACCACCCAGCAGGACACGTTCCGGCTGGTGCTACATATTATCCATCGGCTGGTGGTGTGCCTGCAGGCGCAAGCTATTATCCGGCTGCGGCTGCAGTGCCAGCTGGCGCTACCTTTCTGCCAGCCGGCTCTTCGTTACCGGCTGGCGCCACCTACTATCCACAGGCGCCGGTCAAATCGTCTTCTGGACTTGGTTTTGGTAAGTTAGGAATAAAAGATATCCTAATATATACATAATCATCCCCAATAACTTTTCTTTACCACCCTTACAGGTTCTGGTTTGGCAGCTGGTGCCTTAGGCGGTGCCCTTCTAGGTTACGCACTTACGCCATCGCAAACGAAGGTTATAGAGCATGTACCTGCCGGAGGTGGCTATAGTGGTGGTGGTGGTGGTGGTGGTGTCGCACCCGCGAGTGGTGGCGATGATCGCATTATTATCATTAATAACGGACCACCGGGATCAGTTACAACTACAGATGCTGGTTCCGGTACCACTGTCATAAACACCAATGCAGCAGCGCCAGCACCTGCAGCTCAACCAGCAGCGCCACAATATGTGGCACCACCACAAAATGTTGCACCACAACCCGCTGTAGCTCAACCCAGTACGCCAGATGCTAATTCCCCGCAGCTAGCACCTTTTGGCACACCGCCCGCTGAAAATGGCGGCAATGTAGCGGCTGCTGTTGGTGGCGCGGTCGCAGGTGCAGTTGCCACTGCGGCCGTTGCGCCAGCACTTAATGCTGCACCCATTCCAGCGCCCGGTGAGACCGCTCCTGTGGCCGGCGGCACGCCAACTCCAGTCGCACCAGTCGCTGGTGCCTCTGCTGACGGTGCGGCTCCTGCTGCTGGCTCAGCCGCTGCTCCGGAACAACCACCAGCTGGTGGTATTATCTGTGTACCCGTTCGTGTCCCGGAACCCGATCCTGCTGACAGCACAAAAACTATTGAAGTGGAAAAAGTTGCCTGCTATCCAGCACCTCCACCACCGGCAGCAGCAATCACAACAGATGCAACAGTAAGCAGCACACCCATCACGCCTACAACAGCATCGTCCACACAGTCCACCGTTGAGTCTACCATGGCTCCTGCTCTTATTAGTAAATCGGAAATGTCCGTACAATTGGCGCCACTTAATACACAGTCGCCAATAGAAGTTCCAGAGGGCTCTGTCGCTTTGGCGCCGCTCAGCCCGAACAGGCAGCCGGATATCATGAAATTGCCAGGCAGTTATTATGCACGCCGCTCGGTCTCCACTGTTGAGTTGGCCGAGAGTTCCGGCCTATTGCGCGCCGGTGCAGCAAGCAATTATGCCAATTTCGGCATTTCGACACTGTTGACTCTGCTGGTTGCATATTGTTTGCACTAACCGGGCTGTTGGCTAACAGCCACTCTGAGCCATAAAAACCAAGTGCACTCGCCGTGGTATGCGCAAGTATGGCACAAAAGGTTTAGCACAGGTAGACGAAGGTTAAAGCCAAAAAATAAATTTAATATCGACAAAGAAAATCAACACTTTAAGGCCATAGAGCAAAATCCAATATTTAGTTTAAAAGAAAAGTTATTGATTTTATTAAATTTATTATTTGTCATTTTTTGAAAGCCTCAAGTCATTTATTGGAGTGCATACTATTCTTTAAATAAACAATGCTACATATGTATGTAATTTAATCGTATAATTAAAAAATTTTGTTATTAAATATTATTAACAAAAATACTCGAATTTATTTTTAGTACAAAAAATGAAAATATTAATGTGAATTTTTAGATAAGGTTTTAAAATTTGTTAAAAAAAAATAATTTGATTTTTCAAGTTTTGAAAACCAGATTTTTCTTGATATAAGATATAATTATTAATTTTCCGGTTTTAAAAATAAAACTAAATAAAATGCATTTCAAATGTTTTATTTTCATTAAATTCCTTCGAATTGATACGTTCGAGCTACCATGGCGATATCTCGCTATAACTTGACGAATATTGATTTTCAAGTAACCAACAAGAGTTAAAGATTTACCCGCATAAATACGGTCTTTCACAAAAAAGTTCCACGGTTCTTCTCCAGAACATGGAGACATTGACATATCCGGCTACACTTTCAGTTACAAAAGCGATATTCGATGTGGAACGCACAAATCGATACTGGCTTTACAATATCTGTAAACGATTTAGTCTCTTCAAATTTCTTTTATACATAACCATTACAATTTTTGAAACCACGAAAGGGGTAACATAATATTTTCCAACAATTTTTGCAAAAACAAAATTAATATTGCATTACTAATAGCCTATTCTTGGTATAAAATATGAAAGTAATGCTTGACATGAAATAAAATCTCTTTCAAAAAATCTATCGGGCACTCGAAGCTGGCTTAGAATAAATTTTGGGTACCTTCACATATACAAGGTGTGTCCCAAAAATAACCGAACTTTTTAGATATAAGATAAAATACACATTGTATTATCTATGAAAGTTATTATTTATTCAAAATAGGTTCCATTTGACTCAAATTAACGTTTGGAATGATCAACCAACGCATGAATAGATTTTTTTATGTCATTTATAGAAATGTCTTTCAGTACCTCGGTTATGGCTGCTTGAATGGCTGGGATATCATCATAAAAAGCTCCCTTCATCTTGGTTTTCAGTTTTGGAAACAAAAAATAGTCACATGGTGATAGATCAGGCGAATACGGAGGATGGTCGATGAGAGAAATAACTTTTTTCATTAAAAATTCGAGCGATTTTTTGGTCATCATTTAATTCATGTGGAAGAAATCGCGCACAGACCTTTCTTTTCCCCAAATCTTCAGTTAAAATTCTCCAAAAAGTGTTTTTACTCGTATTCAATTCCTCAGCCAACATTCTCGTAGTAAAGTTTGCATCGATACCAATGATTTCACGGACTTTTTCCACCAGTTCAGCACGATTACTAGTTTCTGGACGTCCTGCTCTAGGGTCGTCATTTAAATCCTCACGACCATTTTTAAATCGTTTAAACCACGTATAAGCTTGCGTACGACTCATACAATCATCACAACAAACTTTTTTCATTAATTTTTTTTTGAAGTTTGACACAAAATTTTATATTTGCTCTTTGTTCCATTTTATTTTTGAACCATTAGCACACTTTTGGTTTTATTGAAATGGCTGTCACTTTTACATCTGTCATCCGACTTTCATGATGTTAGGTGCGTTTGAAAGAGGATGAATGTATCTTTTTCATGTTGCAAATTTTCAACAGATGGCGCTGTTTGTTGTATGATTTAAATATAAAGTTCGGTTATTTTTAGGACACACAGTGTACATTGATTTTTCTTTTATTAAAAGCGATAATTACTTATTTTTTAATGTACCTGGGATTTTTTTACGAATACACAGATTTTTCTTTCGTTTTGTTTCTACTCTTTTAATATACTTCCTCAACCCAATAAATAGCTTTATCAATTTGTTTAATGAAATTTTAAAATGTTGGCAGCTCTGAAAAATTCTTTGCTTAGTAAATTTGTTTTATAAATTATTTTACTTATTTTATCAAGTATTCTAAATTAAAAATTAATTCTCCATTCTTTGAATTAAAAAGTGAATATTAATGTAATTGAGCTTTCTTAACTTTCGACAAGTTCGATAGCCAGATTTATATGGATAAATATTTTTCCATTTAACTTTATATTGGTGTATGCAATTATTCGTGCAGTTTAATTTCGAAAATTAAGACTGGAAAGAGTTGCTTGATCAACTCCTAATACTTTTACAAGTTCTTATTCGTCTTGAAATTGTCGGTCGTCAAAGTCGAAATTGCCACTTTTAAATCTTGCAAACCGCTTTTGGCACGTTCATTCGGGTAAAGCATGGTCACCATAAATGAATGAAACAAATTGTTGTACGTTGAAAGCGACCAAGGTTTGTGAAATTTAGCCATACTTCCTACATTCTTTATATTACAATGTGGGACCGATAACATAGACAGACAAAAAAACTATGAGTTTGGCTAACAGAATGTAAGAAATGGGAATCGCTAATGTAAAAGTTCCTCGAATCTTGCTATTCTCTAGTTTTTAAACTTTTGTTTTCAACTACTGAAAAATACGTTTTACAATTGCAACAACATATATTGGAAATTATTAATTTAAAAACACTTTAATATATAACATTGGATGTTAAAATATTTAAATAAATATATATTGTTGCGAAAATGCGAGGCGAATGTCATATGGAAGAGAGAAGTCGATAACTAGTACACTCTAGAACGATAAAACGAGAACCTTCGATAGCGAACAACTCGATTATTTTACGCTTTCGTCTGCGAGCAGCCGACTGCTATATAAGGGCGACACTCAGCTACCAAGTTAAGTCAGTTACAAAGTGAACTCGTTGGCGACAACGTAGAGTATAGCGGAATAAACTATTTGAGTCGTAAAGTAAACGCGTTGAAGATTACAGTTAAGTAAAATAGATTGTGAAAGTTTTATACAAGTGATTATAACTAGTAAAGTGCATTGTAATTGAATTGTGAATTACTGGGTAAATAAAGGACATTAGATAAATTCTTTATAACGAAAGAAACTGCAAATTGAGTTGGGGATTTTTTTATTTAACAATCCAGAGATCGTACCCGAAGGATTCAGAAAATCATCGAGGTTGATTCAGCAAAATCGTAACAATATATTCAATTTTTTTTCTTTACGCATCCAGCCTTATTAAAATGGTTCTGAGTGCAATTTTTAGCTCTTGGGCACTCGGAACAGTGACGGTCGGACTCGACAATGCCCATGATTTTATCGAAATGAAATCGAGATTGTACATGATTAAATGTGACAGTGTCATTAACATAAACCCTATTCACATTTTCCGGCGTCTGGCTTGCGTTTTCCCTCTTATTTAGGAAAAACTGTAAAATATTGCGCATTTTCTCTTTGCTAGTGTCCGTCTTTGACAACACTGTTCAATAAAACTGAACCAACCTGTATCAAAACTCTCCGAAAAGTTTTCTTTGTATGAAATGTCATCTTTCTAACGCCATTTAGCTGAAACCGATCGGACTTATACAAAACGAAATACCTATTACGTTTATGCTTCAATTCTATGCGAGTTTATTCTACTCGGGTTAAGTCTACAAACAGGAACGTAAAGTATTCTACTTGAGTTGAATTCAGAATGGACGGCCATACCCAACTTAGCTAAATTTTTGTAAAATTTTATGTAAATAATTGTATTTGTGACAAAAAGGCGGAAACTCTGTATCAATCAGGTTAAATACAAATCAGCTGATTTCAACTCAATCCGCGTTTATGCTACCGAGTCTACACTTCTACATATGGAGAGAAAATGTATGTAATCTACCCAAGTAAACGCCTTAACTCTTGTTTATGCTTGCGAGTTTAATCTGTCCGAGAGATTGAACCCTGCTATAAATAAAGCATAAACTTAGTAACAGATGAATAATACCATTCATTGGAAAAATAGTGGATTTCTTTTCACTACCTCTTTATAAAGTTTTTATTATGAAAAAAAAAAAATAAAAATAGAAATATGCAAGATTAAAGATCAATAAATGCAAAGGGAAGGCAAAAACTGCATTTTTCATTTCGGCAATTTTTGAAAATTAAGTAACAGAATTTTGCGAAATTGGAATTTTTTTTACAGTAAAATGCATGCCTCTAAGAATTGCTTTGTCTAAAGAAACCGAAATGTAGAGCATTTAATTTAACAAATTTAGTACGGCTCTTAGGTCTGCTGACCTGTTGTTTTACCTATGTTTTTCTACGAGAGACATTCCTGAAACGAAGTCAAAGTAGAAATTACCTAGAAGACGTTGTCGGGCCGCATTTACTCCGGAGCAGTGGTATCCCTATCTTCAACAACTCCTTCTCATCAATGTCTCTGCAGCCGCGACAGAAATTTTTATAAAAGCCAATATGTGTACAGTTATTACATCAGTTGCTATGCTGTTGAGGAGGAGTGGAGACTTAGTACATTTAAAAACAAGTTACCACAGAAAACAACCGATCATAATCCTGAAGCAACTTGGAGTGACCTACTCTTCTTATGTGACTAAAAATTTTACTGAGTTTTAAAAGCATAAGCGCGGATTTGAATGAAGACTGCTTGTAAATGCTAACTTTCAGGACTGCACCTCAATAGAAGATTATAATAAATCACCTTTGTTGTTGTTATTTTGCGTAAGTAAAAATCGCCTTAAAACTCACAAATGTTTCCTCTTCACACCACTTCTAAGCGCAGCTAAACGTTTTATGATATTTTTTATGACATTTGCATGTTTATTGCATGACATAACTTACAATGGCAATAAAATAAACGGTATACATTTGTAAGCAGAAATAAATCTTTACTTGCGGTTTTAAAGAAAATATTAAGAATTATGAGACGACAAACAATTAGCCTGTTAACCTGCATACATGAATTGGTTAAAAAGGTGTGTCGCATAAATTTAATGAAAATGAAAATTTTATTAAAAACAATTATTTTCTCAAAACGTTTATAATAACCATTCGGCTCTGCTAACTATCAATCCAAATATGTTCTGTGGCCGAAAATTACCTCAAATCTTATGAAAAACTTCTTTTATATACAATTTGACTATGCTTATTTTCGAAATTGAAAAATAAATACAATTCTTTTTTATAAGAGAAAAAATGTTAACTCTTTCTTGTTGCTTGATAAAAATATAAAATATATAAAGGACTACGATATGTTCTTCAAAATATATTAATTTTAAAATACATATACAAACATAAGTCCTTAATTCCGAAATTTTCCTACACCATTCAGAAACACTCACACACACACATATCTTGGAATTTTACCACACGCAATTTGAACATCAACACACATCACATCACAAAACAAGCGCATTATTATTGTTTTTGTTTC